GAGTGCACCCAGACAAAGAACATCTCATTTATCCTCTTGGCTGCACTGTTATTATTAAGAGTCTGAGAAGTGGAAAACAAACTTTCCTCCATGGCCACACGAACAGCATCTCTTGCATTTCTGTGTCCAAAAGTGGACACTATATTGCATCTGGACAGGTCACGTTCATGGGCTTTAAGGTGGGCAGGTGCAATAAAAGTGGAAAACGCTACTGACACGTAGCTTAATAGCTTTATTTTACTGGAATACAGTGCTCCCCTACTTTCTTGGAATGAGATGATCATTTCTCACTGCATGCTGATGTTATTATCTGGGACTATGAGAAAAAGGGGATTTATGCCCGTCTTGTGCTACATAAAACTAGGGTTGAAGATCTCAGCTTCTCCCCAAATGATAAGTATCTGGTATCTTTGGGTGGACAGGAGGATGGCAGGTAAAGTCCTACTGCAGTGATCTTCAGTTGAAATTTCTGATATTTCCCATATTTTAATGCTTCTTACCGCTAGTCTCTTAGCATTCATATTATATTCTATTTTCTCTATATTTTGAAATCTAACTGTGCAATAGGAATTATTTCCCTAGCATGTTTGCTTCATGGTTTTAGTATCGTAGTGTGGAACATTGAGAGTAAGGAGGCTGTATGTGGCAGTCCTGCTTCAGCACAGAGTGCTGGTCACTGCCTCGCGATCGAGTACACCAGCCTGAGCAATGAAATCTTTGTCTCTGCTGGGAAGCAAGTCCTTTCATAGCAAAATGATTCACACTTAATCTCACGTTAAATAATAAATATGAAGTCTCTTATGCTCCCCAAGGTTGCATTACAATACAGTAAATACAATAAAAACAAATTAAAAACTGTGATGGCAAAGCTGAAACATGTACAGTAGACCATACCATCTGTTGCAGGGCTTTTTGTGCATACAACAATCTCACTGGATTATAACAATTAATGGCAAAATCAGTGTTTGAAAAAATTCTGATATGTTCTACGATCACACCAAAACAAAAATATATACGGTCCTGTAAATACCTGTCTTATATTTTCAGAGAAGAATCTAACATGCCTTTTGCACAATAGTGAAATGTATGTAATATTTATATAATATAATACATGTATTTTAGAGTCAGAAATAAGTAGATAAATATATACTACAAATAGATGTAGTGTGTTTGAAATAAAGTGCTTATCACTTTCTGCAAATGCTAATTTAGTAAGTTTTCATGGTGTTTTTTTCAAGTGGAACTCTGCGTGTGTGGGAGCTTGATTTGCCCAACAGAAAGATCAGGCCCACAGAATGTCAGACTGGACAGCTCAAGAGAATTGTCAAATGCCTGGAAGTGAGTAAGAATCACTGATTCTTCCGGTTCTGGTTCACTCATTTTTACATGCTCATATCTTAGATGGATTTCAGAGTGTTTTGTATGTCTAAAACTGGTATAAAGAACATGAATATATGTAAGTGTTTTCCCTGCCTTGCAGATCCCAAATGATGATAATTATTTCTGCTGTGGAACTACTAGTGGGGATATTCTGAAAGTGAACCTAAAAACAAGGTTGCTCAACAGCTGTGGTCCTGTTAAACAAAAATTCAGCAAGGCGAGTCCTCGGTTTTGATTTAACACAGTGAGCAGCTAAGAATTTCTTTTTTCGAAGTTGCATTTATGTCACGTGCATAATTTACATGATTTGAGAAAATGCACTTGTACATATGTGAATTGTTTTCAAAATGATGCACCGAAAGTTAATTATTTCTCTTTGCCTCATTTATGTTTTATTCATTTCAGCTATTATTTATTGCACTACACAGTCCAGAGAACATAAGTTAACAGAGACACACAAAACAAGTTTTTTAACAGACTTTTGGGTAAAATGTAATTTCGCATCACAAGCGCTTTTTCTTGTTATTGCAGGGAGTGAACGGTCTTAAAGTCTTGAAGACTGGAGATATTTTAGTTGGATCAGGAGATGGGATGTTGTCTTTGTGCTCAGGAAGGAATTTCAAAACCATTAAGTGTGTAACAACCCTTATTTCCTCTTCTTTCTTCTGTTTTTTTTTATCTTTTGCTCTTTGTTTTCCTCCTTTGTTGTTTATTCTTTCTCTCTTCCTTCCTCTCATTCAGTGACTAATAATGGTTAACTTATCATTTGTAACAGCAGTGTTCAGTTGGAGGGAGGGGTGACATCAGTGACCCTGCGTGGGGACAGACAGCAGTTCTACGTCGGGACAGAAGCAGCACAGATCTACAATTTAGGCTACACTGACTTCAAACCAGAGCTTATTGCTACAAATCATAACAGTGCTGCAAAGGATGTGGCCTTTCCTTTGTGAGTGAAACAACTTCAGTGCTTTGTGAGCACCTTCCTTCTGCCACTTGAGGGAGACATAAGCTTTATATCGGAGTCCTTAGTCAAAACCCTTCATCTATTTGTGCAAATCCTCTCCCGTCAACTCTCTTTTACTCTCAACAGTGGGACGTCATATATATATATAT